TTGATGTACCAGAGCCGCTTCTCGGGCGGCACGTCACCTCGCCGTGCAAGGCTCGGGTTCAGGGTTTAGGGTTTAGGGTCTAGGGTTTAGGGTTTCGGGTTTAGGGTTTAGGGTCTAGGGTTGAGGATTTAGGGTTTAGGGGTTTAGGGGTTCTGTGGGCTTTACATTTTCAGGCTTACGGTCCGGAGGTGCTTGAAAGTCTTAAGAATATGCATGAGCCTATGAAGTTGTGCGTTCCTTTAGCTGCTACAACGGGAGCATAGAAGGGGGCAGTGCGTCTGGGTTGGGCTGAAGGTCTAGTAACCATGTAGATCCAGGAAAGATATTCGTACAGCTGCATACATTCATAGACATCGATGTCTAAATCTCTGCTACGCAGCTACTAGCGAGTTACAAGCGAGGTTACCCCGATCCGGAAAGTGGGGAGCGGTGCTCGCATTCCAAACCCCGGCTGCACGCTGTCTAGAACTTGCCTATACATGTACCCAAAGCTTTACGTTTGTTCGGTTTTGTATAGCTCTTCTGGGGCGCCTTACTGTGTTCAACAGAGTTTCGGTGAAAACTAATTGATAGCTACAAGAAGAAATCCTCAGGAAGAATTAGCTGACACAGGCAATTAGCCAGGCTTGAATAGCAGATGATCACATCCGGGTCCCTTTCCGTCATTCTCGAGACTTCCATAGCTCATCATTCCATAAACGTATGGCGATACCCCAGACCTTAAACCCTGAACCCCACACCAACTCCGTAAGTTTGGCCCCAGCTGTTAATTCCACTTTTCACCAGTTGGGGTATGTGCTGCAAATCTTCTCCGTTGTGTCGCTGTCACAGTTTGCGCATGGCACAAATGAGACCATGAAGAAAACAAAGTGTGAGCTTGATAAGTTGTTGGCAGAGGCTTACGGAATTCAATCCGAGCCCAGAAAACAATAAACAAAATTCCGGAACCTTATCCACGAAATCATAAGCATCACAAGCTGCGGGCTCCGCTCCGCACTGGGTATGTTTGTTTGTCGGTGTGTGTGTGTGTGCTTGTGTTTGTGTGTGTGTGTGTGATTGTTTCTTTTGTTTGGGGGTGGCGGGGTGGTGTGGGGGGGAGGGGGGACTGTGGTTAGGTATCTTGAATCCCAGCGGCTCAAAGATCCATCGCTTCATGATGTAGAACAGTGTGTTGGGCTTCGCTTGGTCCAGGGGCACAAAGGTAGGCATGGCATCCTCGACTGAAGCATCCGTCTCGGCTTAGGCTTAGGCTAAGGCTTCATGGCCTCTTTGGAATGCTCTCTCCGGTTTAGGGTTTAGGGTTTAGGGTCTAGGGTTTAGGGTTGAGGCTTTAGGGTGTAGGGTTTAGGTTTTAGGGTTTAGGACATAACCCTAAACCCTAAACCAACACCCCCCAAAATCAGTCAGACAGACAGACATTTCTGTATCCGTACTTCGGAGCCTAAGAAAAACAGGCCGTCATAAGAGATTAGATGTCAGCTCTAAGCCTGAGCATCTGCTTCGCCTTCAGGCATTGAAGAACTGACACATAGCTGGTGGCAACCGGGAACTACGGTTGATGGTATAAATCCTTAGCACTACCCAGAATAAAGAATATAACATGATTCCCATAGTTTAGGGTCCTTAAGGTAATGCAGGATTTCTATCATCAACAGTACCCCTAAACCCTAAACCGCGCAAACCCTAAAGCCCAAGCGACACTGAACCTTAGACTTGAGTCATAGCACACAGACCACGCACGAACACAGATAGACGCACCCATAAAGTGTACAGGCAGAGGACAAGACGGGTATTCCACACGCTCTAAACCTTATATAAGCCCTGTAACCTTTCTTTGTAAACCTTCTAAACCCAAAATCACCATACCGATAAACCTGGTAGAATTCATAAGCGTTGTGCCGCAGCTAGAAATTCACAACCTCTGCGCAGGCATGAATCCATAGTGTATCCATTGAACTCCGCTAGCATCAGCTTGTTTCCGCCAACCAGCACAGGGCAGGCTGTATACCTCAGCTGGAGCAGGAGAAAGCTCTCAACTCTAAACCCTAGACTCTAAACCCTGAGCCCTAAACCCTAAACCCTAAGCCCTAAACCCTAAGCCCTAAACCCTAAACCCTAAGCCCTAAACCCTGCACCCCTAAAGGACCTGTGTTTGAATCTCGGGGCTGAGGCACTGAGTCTTAATGGGATTAGGTTTGGGGCAGCTCGAGGTCCTAAAGGGTTTAGCGTTTAGGGCTTTGGGGTTTTGGGTTTTGGTTTAGGGTTGTGGGTAAACGAACCTTACCCACAAAGAAACGAACCTTGCCCACAAAGAAACAAACCTTGTCGACGAAGATCATTAAGGCTGAAATTCCCTAAGGACGTTCGGGATACCAAGCCTATATAATCCCTCAAACCCGAAACCATAACTGTAGGACCATAACCTCTCTGAGCCCAAACCTCGGTAGCGCTGTTAATCTCTCGCCGAAGTCAACCGAGTGGCCCATCATAAGCCGCTGTCGCGTTTTGCGGCTTGCCTGAAGTAGGGTTTAGGGGTTTAGGGTGTAGGGTTTTGAATTTTAGGCGGGACGCACACTATAAGAACGCAATGATGGCTCAAGTCTTTGTGCTGTAGGGATTTTGGTAGGGCTTTAGGGGTTTATCCAGCAAGCCCAAACCGATTGCATAAGAACTATCACCTCAGGCCTACTCACTAACCCAGCAGAACTTAAGGTATGTACTATACCTTGATAGAGGTGCATTGGGCTTGCCTTGTGTCTAACCCGCATGACTTCAAACCCTAAATCTTGTCCGAAGCTGCTGTCCAACATGGCCAAGACGTTGTGCACCTTGGCCGGGCAGGAAACCTCAAAACCCGAAACATCCAAAGCTCAAAGCGAGAAGCGAGTAGAATCCGAAGCCCCAAACCGAACCCCCCTAAAGCCTTAGCCCCTAAACTCCAAAAATAACGCCTCAAACCCGAGAGCTCTATAACCCTACTTGGAGGTTCATAGGTAGTTATCAAGTAGGGCTCTCAGTAGGGTAACTTTTGTTATAACCTATAAAAGGGGACTTATAACTCCACTTATAGTTATCAAGTAGGGCTCTCAGTAGGGTAACTTTTGTTATAACCTATAAAAGGGGACTTATAACTCCACTTATAACTACCCATAAACCTCCAAGTAGACCCTAAGCCCAAAACCCTTAAGGAACCCGTAAAGGAACCCTTTAAGGCTTACCTATAACACCCTAAACCCCAAAACAACAAAGACCCTTCTCGAACCCGGAAGCTCTGTCTGAGCCCAGCGGAAGACACTCGAGATACCTGAATCTCGGAAAACCCCCCGAAACCCTGAACCCTGAACCCCAAACTCATTTAGGGCTTAGGGTTTAGGGCTTAGGGTTTAGGGGTTTAGGGCTTCTTAGGGTAGGGTTTAGGGCTCTAGGGTTTCAGGGCCCTAAACCCTAAACCCTACACCCCAAACCCTTAACCCTAAGCCCTAAACCCTGCAAACCCCCTACACCCTAAACCGTTTTGAGTTTAGTGCTTCCTTCTGGGGCTTCATGGAGTCATTCGAGTTCGGAGCCCAGGGTTCTGGGTCTTCGGGTCTATGAGCCTTAACCCGAAGCCCGTGTGAGTAGCTATACGTTCACAAGGGTCTTTATGGGTTTAGGCGTTAGGGGTTTAGGGGTTTAGGGGTTTAGGGTTTAGGGTTTAGGGGTCTAGGGTTTAGGGTGAATATCATATGGACTCCGTATCCGTATCCGGGTCCTTCTTGCTTGGGGCCAATGCTTGATGGCCCATGCTAAACTCCAAAGTATCCCTGAGCCGCTCCCACCCAAACGCAAAACTCTTAACCCTCAAGCCTGTAAACCAAGAGTCCGAAAGCCATATAAGACTTATATGGCCTCTGCAAGCAATAAGAGGCTAAGGACGCAGCAACCACGGGTGCTTGTGCGGAAATCGCGCTGTAAGTCTTCGACGTGGGAAGGGAGGAGCCTTGGTGCGAGGGCTCTTAGGGTTTAGGGTTTAGGGGTTTAGGGCTTAGGGGTTTAGGGGTTTAGGGTTTAGGGGTTTAGGGTTTAGCGGTTTAGGGGTTAGGGGTTTAGGGTTTGTTCGCGCTCACCAGCACAGTCGACCCAGAGATCCCAATACCCCTTAGTTAAGGAATATATACCTTAAACTATATAGGGGGCCTTGAAGGGATCTATAAGGGTCTCAATAAAAGCTCTATAAGGGAGTTAAGGAATAGACCTTAAACTATAGGGGCCTTGACATATTTTGATTTAAGGTATCTATTACTCCCTTTATTTACATAGGGGGGTATTGGGAAACCCCTGAGGAGGAACCATCAGCAGAGGCCTCAGAGTCGATTTCTAAGCGGGCGCAGATAGAGGCCTTACGAGTCAAAAAAAACACCAGGTGTTGCAGTGTGTTATAGGGTTTAGGGTTTAGGGATTTAGGGCTTAGGGGTTTAGGGATTTAGGGTTTAGGGTTTAGGGTCTAGTTAACGGAAACTACAGGTGGGGAGTTTAGGGTGTTTAGGGCTTCTATAAGGCTTCTATAAGGTATATAGACCTTCTACAAGGCTCCTATAACGGTAACTACCCACCTGAAAATGTCCTAGACAATTTGGGCCATAGTTAATTATAATAACCTACAGAACACTGTTCTGACATGTTTCAATCTCAGGCTCCGCGTAATATGTAGTCTCTCAGCAAGGTCTACCACCAACACGAGACAGCATGAGACAGCTGAAAACATGAACTAAACCCTAATCCCTAAATCCTAAACCCTAAACCCTAAAACTAAGCCTTGTAGCAGTCACCCAGGGAGAAGACGTTGGAGAACTGCGTGTGCTGGCATGTCTCCTGATGGGTAACGTACCTATGTAGTTCCTTTTGGGGGTGTCGGGTTTAGGGTTTTGGGTTACCTATGTAGTTCCTTAGGGGATTCTAAATAAGAAATTAGAAAGCTGGCTAAACCAAAAAAATAATTACAATGGAGACCATAGGTAGGGACCTCAGTGCTCCGAGAATGCTGAGAGTAGCCTTCTTTACGGGCTTAGGCGCTGCAGGGCTTCACAAGTAGAACGGGGGATGCTTTGTAATGGTAATTATGATTATATAAGGTAGCCATAAGGACTAATAGTACTCTTATGTACTGTACTGAATCCCTAAACCCTAAACCCTAAAGCTCTGAATATTCAGACCCCGATACTAGGTTCACAGCTTGGGGATTGAGAGTTCGGCCCCAAGGGAGCCAAATACCCCATTGCCTACGGCTCCAACACACCCGAAGTCCGCAAGCCCGACCTAACCTCCCACAGGGTTTAGGGTTTAGGGGTTTAGGGGTTAGGGCTTAGGGGACCTAACTTCTTAATTACATGTGTTGGGAGGCTCCAGGTAGGGCCTGCAAAGACTCCAAACAAACCCCAAACTAAAGCCGTAAACCCTAAAACCCTAAATCCCTGCATCCTCTGCGCATCCTCCGGGGTTACCTATAGTTGCCATTGCCGTTCGTCTCTTGGGGTAGCTTATTGCATCCCAGCTTCTGAACTTGGCTTATCTTGAACTGAAAAGGAACTAGAATACTAGAAGCCCTAAACCCTAAACCAAGCTGTAAACCCTAAACCCTAAACCCCTAACCCTAAACCCCTAAACCCCTAAACCCCTAAACCCCTAAATCCCTAAACCCCTATGCCTATGCCCTAAACCCTAAACCGTAAACCCTAAACCCCCTAAGCCCTAAACCCCAAACCCTAAACCCCGTAAACCCCTAATTCTGACCGTCTACAGGGACATCTCAGGCAGCTCGCAGGATCCCGGGCATTCTTTGGACCCGGGTTTAGGGTTTAGGGTTTCGGGCTTAGGGTTTAGGGTTTAGGGTGTAGGGTTTAGGGTTTAGGGTTCTCTGCTTTGGCCTCCCGTCTCTGAAACCAAAAGCAAGGTTTCGGGTGCTTCGTAGGCTTTTTGGTCGGTTCCGGACTCTTAGAGGGCTTTGGGGGGTTTAGGGTTTAGGACTCGGGGGTTCCGGATTCTTAGAGGTTTTGGGGGTTTTGGGTTTAGGGCTCTGGGGTTCTGGGTTCTTAGAGGTTTTGGGGTTTTGCAGGGGTTTAGGGTTTAGGGCTCTCGGGCTTCGGGCCTGGGGGTGTTCAGGGTTTCGGCTTTGGTTTTCTTGGGTCTAGAGCTGTCCTTGTCAACATCAACGAAGCCGATGCCGTTGGCCAGCGGACTGTTCCTCAGCTAGTCGGAGTGTACTTATAAGTGCTTGTTGTTGTGTTAGACTGAAGCCGCAATAACAATGGCAGAAACAATACGATGTGCACAGGACAGTGTCACCGTCCCCATCGGGAAAGGACGAAAACGGAAACATGACATGTTTCAGCCAAACTCTGCAAACCTTTGCGCAAGCCTGACACCCTCCGGTGTACTGTCGACGGCTTTCCGAGTACTATGTACAACCCCAAACGCAATTTTGAGGCGATCTGGCGATTACCAAGTTCAGGAGGCACAAGCATGTTAGCGGAGACGCAAAGCTTCAATGTCATCCATCCATGTGGGAAGGTTTACGTACCGGTTTGGGATAGTAATTGGGTCTCGGGAGAGTGGTTTGGGCAGCTCCAATGTGGAGGCGAGGCTCTTGATGAAGTCCGGCGCGCTCATGGGCGGGGTCACATGCCTTGGCACGGCTGTCGGATTAACTTCAGGACCAGCTTTCTGCACTGCCTTTCTGAAACCGCTTCATGATGAGCTATGACACCTTCACCCAGACCTGGGAAATCACAACAAGAGCTGCAGGGATCTCGATGTTGGCCTGGAATAAACTTTTCGCCTACAACAACACCATGGAGCACATCCGTCAAAAGCCCGGCAGGTCTTGACGCTGATCATCATATATCTTGATGCAAGAAAGTAAAAGGTGCCTCTAGCGTTCAGGGCGCCGGGCCGTGACTTCGCCAATGTCCGTGCGGGTTTTGTTCTATGCACATTCGACTCGATGCAACATGAATTAAGTACTACAGGGGCCTCAATATCGTCAGTACGAGTTTTGTTGTGATGGGGGTGTACAATTTAGAACAAAATCTTTAATGCTAACAACATCAGAAGTACAAGGTGACATCCTTACTTGTTGCTCACTATATTGCACTATCATTCGAGGCTCATGTTGCCCCTGAGCCTACACTGAGTCGAAACCTAGAACCCCAAACCCCAAATCGCCAAAGGCCGAAGAACAGAAAGTCGAACTCCTTCTTCACCCGCTCGCCGCCCTCTTTCTCGAAGATGGCCACCTGTCAGTCTTTGAAACTGAAGGGCCATTTCGGGATTCAATCTCTCATCGGGGGCTATCATCATGAGATACGAATCACAGGCCCACGATGTCAGACTGTCCCAGATCCCGCTTCCTAGACCGTTGATCATGTTAGCTCCCTTTATCGGGTTTAACCCATGCTATAGTTAGGATCCTATAGAGTAACCCCGGAAATGGAGACTATCCAGTATGGAACATCATTATCCCCATGCCCAAAACGTAAAGCATAGGGAATCCCAGTACTACTCATCATAAATCCACGTTCCAACTTTCTGGGCTTCACCATAAACCCTAAACCCTAAACCTTATGCCTTATAGCACCCTCACAGATCCCTTCAAGGAACCCTAAACCCTAAAAGGGACCCTTATTATAGATCCCTTCAGGGAAACCCCTCAGGTTCCACCTTTCTGGGGTTCACTACTTGGAGGTTCATGGGCAGTTATAAGTGGAGTTATAAGTCCCCTAATATGGGCTATAACTATAGTTATCCTACCTATAACCCTACTTTTAACCACCCATGAACCTCTAAGTAGAGGGACTCTCAGGGTTTTGGCCGTCCCAGAGGCAACTGCGCCCACGATAAGCGAACAGCCTGGACATAAGATACCCCTAACCCCAAAGGGCCCAAAATACCTATATAGTAGAATGTAGGGTTTCTATATTAGGAATTGTTATTTTGATTTGGGAAAGTCTCCCCCATAACAGTACCTAGGACCCTTTGGGAAACTTTTAGATCCCTAAACACTCAGCCCGCTAAGCACTACAACAAAAACTCCTAATTACCCACGTCCTAAATACCCTGATTCTTTAGACCCTTACCCCAAATACCAAACTCTAGACCCCAACCCTAAATCTGCAAACCACAGTGGAACCCTGCCCCTTTAGACATCGCTGAACCCCAAACCCAAACCCCTAAACCCCTAAACCCTAAACCCTCAACCCCTAAACCCTAAACCCTTAAACCCTAAACCCTTCAGAACGTTTAGGGGTTAAGGGTTTAGGGTTTAGGGCCTAGGGGTTTGGGGTTTAGGGTCTAGTTTTAGGGTTTAGGGTGTAGGGTTTCGTTTTGGGGTTTAAGGTTTAGGGTTTCCCCCCTTGAAAGCTCTTTGACAGCCGTCGCTCTGCCTTGCCCGGCCCGTCCACTTCTACAAGGTTCGTCTTCACGTGCGGGGTGATGCTCTTCCTCGCAAGGCTAACCCTAAACTACAGGAAACTACAGGTGGGGAGTTTAGGGTATATAGGGCTTCTATAAGGGTTCTATAAGGCAAATAGACCTTCTCTCGATCACACATACAACCTCTATGAAACGCTTATGGTCTAGGGTCTAGGGCTTAGGGCTTAGAGTTCAGGGTTACCATACACCTACCCTTCACCGTTTCTTGAAGAAAACTTCATAAGGCCATATTTAAAACATGTGACAACCCTGAAGCCTTCATGAAACCCGTAGAAGGCCCTGAACCCAAAACCCTGAACCCAAAACTCCCTAAACCCTAAACCCTGATCCCAAAAATCCTAAACCCTGAACCCAGTAACCCTAAACCCTGAACCCAAAACTCCCTACACCCTAAACCCTGAACCCAAAGACCCTACACCCTGAACTCAAAAGTGCTAAACCCTGAACCAAAAACCTAAAAAAAACCTAAACCCCAAAAACCCTAAGCCCTAACCCTAAGCCCTTAGCCAGCTGTCTCTGCCATGATCTTCTCCAGGGCTGCGCGGTAGGTCGGGCAGGCGAAGATCCCCGGCGTGGCGGTGCAGAAGTCGATCTCGATCTTCTCGCGCACCTCGGAAGCCCTAAGGGTTTAGGGTCCAGGGTTTAGGGTTTAGGGTTTTTGGGTTTAGGGTTTAGGGTTGAAAGGGTTCAGGGTTTATCGGGTTCCCAGAGACTCCAATATCCCTTAATTAAGGAATATACCTTAAATGATATTAGGGATCCTACTATAGTTTAAGGTATATTCCTGATTTAAGGGATATTGGACCTCGAAAGCCCAGGGGTTCAGGGTTCCTTTGTAGGGTTCCTTTAGGGGTACCATAAGGGTTTAGGGTTTAGGGCCTAAGGGTCCAGGTACCCAAATAGTGTATACCTTGGCCTTACAGTAGTCCCTATGTAGGTACTTTGGGGCCAAAGTATGTACTATTTGGGTACATGGAATCCGGAACCTCAGGGAAAGGGTTCAGGGTTTTTATCGGGTTTAGGCGTTACCTGGGCCCCAAAGAACCTACCCTTTTTCAAGATTTATATTATAAAGACATCATAATAAGGAACCCTGAAAAGGAAGGGTTTATCGAGTTTAGGGTTTAAGGCCTAGGGATCTCGATCTGCTCCCGCACCTCAAACGGTGTGCTGCATAGGGTACTTTCTTCAATGGTGCTTTACAACGGTGGATTTGTTACCATGGCTTTGTGCCTGTGGGGGGAGGGGATCACAGTAGATTAGATACCGGTTCGATAAGGTTTTATAGCGGAGCCAGGCAACCTTTGCAAAGAAGGAAACAGTTTCGCAAGTTTGAGTACAGCAGCTGTTCCAATGCGCATCCCTGTTCCTGTTCGGAGGGACGGCAGGTCCGCATTGCTGGATGAAAGTCCTTTTGGCTTGAGTGCTCCGAAAACATGCTAAGACAATAACATCAAAATCCTACACCGTCGGACCGTAAGCCCTAAAGCCTCAATCTGAAACACCACGAATTCCTTGCAACCGCGGCACACCCTTCTGACGCCAAGCGCAGTCTGCCAGGTAGGCAATCCTTGGAAAAGGCCGTCTTAAGAGACACCGCAACCCATAGGCCTTAAGGCCAAAGAGCCTTGGGTGTTGTTTAGGGCTTAGGGGTTTAGGGTTTATGGTTTAGGGTTTAGGGGTTTAGGGGTTTAGGGGTTTAAGGTTTAGGGGTTTAGGGTTTAGGGTGCACAAATCTTGTCGCGCAGGCTCGAAAACGAACTAAAAGCGTTATCCAGGCTGAAAGCCTGCACGGATGTGAGTCCACAGACTCGTTAGGAAACAGGAACTCAAAAAGCTTGGGGTTGCTGGGCCCAAGCTGCCAAGTCGCGCCTGAAAATGGACAAACCCACCCTAAGGGTCCATGTGCCCAAATAGTATATACTTTGGCCCCAAAGTACCTATATAGGGACTACTCCAAGGCCAAACTACGTACTGTTCGGGTAAATGGACACTTAGGACCACAAGCATTCCACATCAGGCCTTCAGCTGGTTCGGGGCCGAAGGCGTACTCATGCTCTACAGACTATACACAGCTTTGTTGCGATCATACATGATGAGACTGGGTTTAGGGTTTAGGGTTGCATGGATCTTGGGATCTGAAAGGGCGCATCTGCTGGCCCTGGTTGGCACAAAGGCAAAATCAAGCTCGCATGCAGCCACCACAAGAGAAACTTGGACCCCAAACTCGAACACAACGGAGTTGAGATTTTTAAGCGCTTCTACTCTAACCCTAAGCCCTAACCCCTAAAGCCTAAACCCTAAACCTCTACGTAAACATACTAGAATATAGCCCCCAAATATAGCCCCCAACACTCAGTTTTTGAGCCTTACCTATATCGAACCCTTCCTGACCTTCTGAACCTTATTGTCCGCATACATATCCCTAAGGGCCATGTGCCCAAACAGTAGGTTTAGGGTTTGGGGTTTAGGCTTTAGGGTTTATATGCTTTGGCCCCTAAGTACCTACATAGGGACTACTTTAACTACGGCAAAAGTATGTACAATTTTGGGTACATGGACCCTTAGGGTATGTTCAGCCACTTTCAATCAGAAACGAGAAGCTTTTGCGGCGCTCCGCCGCAGTTGACAGCAGTGCCCGGGTTGGTAAAGATGGCCTTGCCCTGCTTCCTTGAAGGAGTTGGGGCTTAGGGGTCTAGGGGTTTGGGGGTTTAGGGGTTTAGGGTTTAGGGTTTAGGGTTTATAAGGGGTATA